TGTTTGCCCCCCAATAGACACGTTCCCTTTCTTTGACTGAATTAAGATTACGATGCCCCTTCTAGTGTTATTTATAATCTCTATGGTGGTGTCGCCATATTTTCTTTCAAAATCAATCCACACCATTTTATATGTACATGTATAAAGTTCCATGTGAAAGCATTCAAAGCAACGTACTGCACTTTGTCTTTGATGATTTAGTCTTTATAAACAAACGTTTGCCAACTCTACTAGCAGAATCATGACAAAATACAGTTTCGCAAAATACAGTTTCGCAAAATACAGTTTCGCAAAATGCAGTTTCGCAAACTACAGTTTTGCAAAATACAGTTTCGCAAAGTTTCGTTTCGCAAAATACAGTAAGCCTGATATGTAATTTAAGATGAGACATTTTAAGTTGAGATATAGAAAAGCTAAAATGATCCAGTCACACATTTAAACAGAGCAAGTAAAACGATTGTATAGAGAGTACGGGCATGAGGAGATCCACTCTTCAGGTACTATTTTATAGTTTTATAGTTCTGTGAACAGTCTTTAGTGTATTAGTTAACTTTATAGTCTATTTTAGTGAACATTTTATTATTATATTATCTTTGTTTTTGTAAAAATATGATCGGTTATATATTTGTAAATTTGTGATTTTTAGAATTAGATTAAAAGGAAATCTCCTTGTGTGTCGCAGTTTGTCTCCCTGGCATGTGTCCTTACCAACTTCTGAAGGAGTAAAACAGTTTAGTGCCGATTTAGTAGGCAAATAAAGGAACAGATAATCGAGTGTTTATATAATTGGCAAGCACAATACCCGAGGGAGAATCAAGCAAAGCTTTGATAATAGATCAAGCAAGGCCATGTTAAAAAACAAGTGTAAACAAGTTAGAGGGAAGATTACTCGCAGTATAAAGCATCTAAGCAAAGGAGTTTCGAAAGAAGATCGAACTTTATGGCGTTTTGAGAAAGAAATCGAGCAATTATGTAAGGACTTTGAAGTTGCACATGAGTTACGCACGTAGATATGAATATATTAGACAAATGGGAAGACGACTTAATGAGTTAAGTGTATGGGATTGAAGAAAGAGTCGAAGAATATATTCATTCAAGGTATTTCAAAATCAAATGGCCAAGGATCTGGAAAGAAGAAGGCAACTTGCCCGCAGAGCGCAGCAGTAAATCAACTTACGGAAGAGCCTCAAATGTCATTGCAAGTGTCAACCAGGGCCGTAGCGAGGGGGGTATTGGGGGGGGGGTGGTTAACCCCCCCCAACTTTTGTAGAATTAACATATTCGGAAAATCGGGTTGGCCATTCGGAAAATTACGGCAACAATAGTATAACAAAATTTTAGTTGTTTAAACAGAGAAAATATTATAAAATGGTGTTGTCAGTATAAACCATTGGTATAAACTGATTTACTAAATCACGGTATTTACATGGATAACGTAAAACAAATCTTAAATCGGTAAATGTTTTTTGGTTTATTACTTCTCAGGGTCGTAGCAGTCGATCGGGGGCAGCAGCCCTTACAATAATTTGCTGATAATCATTCTTTTTTTCAAAATCATGCACACCTTTATCATTTAATTAAATAATATACCATTAAAATACTGACAATAGATTGGAGGTGTGCATCGGATCGGACGTTTATAATCCGACAATTGCCTAATGTTTAAAATCCGATCCGAAATTGTCTAATCCGAATCCGATCCGACTTTGAAAAAGAATTCCAATCCGATCCGATCCGAAGAATTCTTTAATAAAATAAATTCTCATTCAAGGTGAAATATTTAACCGAAAAATATAAAAGCAAGAAATACATGTCAAGAAGCTGACAAAGTGACGTCCAATTGAAGTATCAAACGAATAATGCAGCGAAAACTGCGATGATACTTTGATAAATGTATGGATAATTAATTCTCGCGATAATGCATGGATAATTAATTCATTTTATTTCGGATATCGAAGTCCGAACAGACTACGAAACAACTTTATCAATCTGATCCGAAATTTACGTTTTGGTTCCGAAATCCGAACAAATCCGATCGGACTTGCACACTTGTACGATAGACCTTAATTTCCCCCATTTTAGTGAAACTTTGATCCAGACAAGCCTGGACAACAATTTCACCACAGCTTGAAAGAGCATCACAAAATTAGTAATATTCCGAAGTTCCGTTGAATGTTGTAAAATGCGGATAATATAGCCTTGCGAAGTTTGCCGTTTTTCAGTCATTTTGCATTACAAACGGGAAATTGATAATCAGATGATCAAACTGGTATCAATTTCCCATTTGTAATACAATGACTGAAAAACGGCAAACTTCGCAAGGCTAAATTACCGCATTTTACATTTCGTAACGAAACTTCGGAATATTACTAATTTTGTGATGCTCTTTCAAGCCGTGATGAAATTTTTGTTTAGGCTTGTCTAGATCAAAATTTCACTCATAAGGGGAAAGGTCTACTGATTGATTTTAAGCGGCTACATTATCCATGACAAACCGTAAAGAATCATATTACCTATACTCTTTCCTGCAATATATAGTTAATTAAATATGCCTTCGCCCATTTAGTTCTACTAAATTGTAAGCAAATTGTAAATTTCGACATACTAAAACTCTATTAAGAACTCGAACCGACTTGACCACGTAGCTCAGTTGGCAGAACATTGGGCTAGTATCCCAAAGGTCGCAGGTTCGACTCCCATCGTGACCAAGCAAACTTTTCAGCTTGCCCGCTGTGGATGCATATTCAGAGTAACGTCACAAATATCATACTAAAACTCCGTTTTCTGACCATCAGAATTCTGTGAAAACTTCCCCAAAGTCCAGGAAATGGAATTTCAGATAATCTAAATTTAAAAATTTCCTTGGGCCTTCGGCCCTCGTTCCCAGCCCCCAATAAAAATGAGCTTCCTACGGCACTGCATGCTTCTGTAATATGTCTGCGTAAACTATGTGTATTTTTGTTTGTAAATTGCATCTTCATTTTCCGGATAGCAAACACCTTCGTGGCTTCGTATGCCATGAAATATTCGGAAATTTTCTTTGTCATTCGGAAATTTTTGGCCTACACCCCCCCAACTTTACATGCTTAGCTACGGCCCTGGTGTCAACACCTCTACATTACAGCAAGAAGAAATTCAAGAGATTCCGTCGCCTACAAGCAATATGAACAGTACTGTAGAAACAAAAATTGACCCAATTACTTTTGATTCCTGGATTGATAAGTTATAGGAATTTGAAGAAACTAAAGTAACAACATTACCAGTTGATGGATCTCAAATGTCGATCGCAGATGCACTTTTAAAGTTGGAAGCAAGTCGAGATATACCAAACGTTACTTTGACCAAATTCTCTGGAAATCCATTGGAATACACGGATTTCATCGATCACTTTAAGATACATATCCATGACAAACCCCACCTCACCGATGATATGAATGATCCAGCTGAAAATGCATGTCAGTGGTGATGCGGAAAGAGCAATTTTGGGATTAGCTTCGAAAGGTGTAATGTATGCAGCTGCCTTGAAGATGATTAAAGAACAATTTGGACAACCAAGCATAATTGCCTGTGCATTAGTCAACAACGTCGCCAAAGGAGAGAAAATCAGTAGAAGTCACAGGAAGAAATTGCGAGAGTTCTCAATTGACCTTATCAATTGCATGGCCACGATGAAATGCATTGGATATACAGCAGATATCAATGCCAACGAGAATTTACAAAAGATCATCACACGCTTACCAGACCACATGATTGAAAGGTGGAAAGTCTTTGTGGCAGATATTTGTGAGGTCAGACACCTAAAGTAAGTCATATAAGTGAATATGTGAGAGAGTAAAGGCAGAGTTTGATCCTGATTTAGGTGACCTACAAAGAGATTCAAAACCCCCAAGAAGTGACCATCCACCGAGAAGAGGCATCTACGCTGTCAGGCGTGATTCAAACAGATTGCCAATGAAATGTTACGTGTGTGAAGAAGAGCACCATACCATTGAATGCCCAGTATTAGCAAAAGCCTCAGTTCTTGAAAGACTCAAACTAGCAAAGAAAACAAGATTGTGTTTCTTGTGTTTGAATCATGGACACTCCAAGAATGATTGCCAGTCGAAGAAGAAATGTGAAAAGAGCGATTCGTGTCCTTACTTTCATCATCCTTTCTTACCTTCCAGTCCACCACCAGTTGCCTCAATTCTAGATAAAGCTAACATGATGCCTGTAATCAGAGCCAGATTCAGAGCCCCCAACGATCGAGTTTGTGAAGGGAACATGTTGATTGACAGTGGTGCTGGAACGACAGTTATTTGGAAGCTTTGTGAAAAATGTCAGATTGAATGGAAAAAGAGAATGGATCGATTTAGCAGTAGTTGGAGGAGAGAAATTAGAGCAACCACACAGCCGAAGTGTGACCTTTTGGATCTCTGCACTCAAAGGCGATCAAGAGTTCAAAATCGAAGCCCACAAGATTGAGAAAACTATTCTCAACGAGCCTGAGTTGAAGATGGCTCAGTTCCTTCACCCATCTTCAAGACAGTGAATTTAATCATGTATCAGGTTCAATTGATCCTTATACTTGTTGTCCATTATACCCACCTTCACTCGGAAGAAGAGATATGTCATGGATAAGAACTCCAACCAGTGGCCAAGAAAACCAAACTTGGTTGGTATGTGATAGGAGCGAATGAGGAGAAAAGAAGCCCAGAACTTTGTTCAGTTCTATCAGTTTGAGACACTGGGAGTGCAAGCAGTCAGTTGTCCATGTCCTAAGTCAGCCCTCTCACTCACTGAGGAATGAGCCATGGAGCTTATGGAACAATCATGTAAGCTCGATGACAACCGTTATGTAACCGTTCTTCCGTGGAAAAGAGATAAGAACTTCAGGGTTCAAAATAAAAATTTCAAATATTTAATATAAAATATTTGTAGGCTTTTTTGTACATGTACATTTTTTTGCCGGCTGTTTTCATCTCTGACAAGGAGTGTTAGCTTGCACCATTAGACATGAGGGTTACCAGGAAAGCCTTGAAATTTAGGCAAGTTACAAAACGCCAAATATTATTATCCTTTAATATTTGTTTTACAACCTATACAGTTAAATCACAAACACTGACAATATGAATACATTGGTAATGTTATCGTTCAATGCAGTTACAGTGTATAAACAAGTGATCAGTTTAATGTACTAGTTATGAAGTTTTCTTCAATTATACAAATTCTTACTGGAACTAGTTAGTGACTGTGAGTAAGTGGCAAGTATGTGCCTGGTTGTGCTAGTCAGATTCCGCTTCAGATGAGCTTCTCATACCACAATCAAGGGGATCATCTTCAACACTATATATTGTCTCTTGTTCTGAATCTTCAAGCATGACGACATGATCTTCATTGTTTGGTTCATTATCAGTGTTTTCAAATTCGCTCTCTGTTGAGGACGCTTCATCCACAACATCAACCAGCCAGTCTTTGAGATATTCATTTTTCTCCTTTGCTCTAGTTTGTTTGCTTCCCTTGCAAGTCTTTGTCTGGTTGGGTCTTCTTCTCTTTGCATCATTCAAGGGGATAATTGCTACATCACAGAATTCTTCATTGAACTCTTTAAGATTGGGACCAGTCACTTTGATATGCAATAGATCAGTCAGATTTGATTAATTTAGCCTGTTACGCCAGTCCGTTTTCACCACAAGTATGAAATAAATTATTCACACACTGAATTTCCATATGGACAGGTTAAGCATAGTTCAATGAGTGGAAACAGGTCCTTGGCCTCATCTTGCTTGAGGTTCTTCATAGGTGGCCAGAGATCCAGTGGGTCAAGAACATCAACATTGAAGAAGACTGTTGCCCAATACATAACATACTGCTCACATACCTGCTGTTTGCTGCTCAAACATAGTTGAGGAATGGATGCAAAATTGTTTAAGACTTTAACAAGCGCTTCCAATTGGATCTTGAGACTTTCAGCACTTGGCTCCTTCATGGGCATCCATACCTTAGAATTTAAGATCTTTGCAGCTGAATGTCATCAGTCTTGTTTCTTTGCAAGATTCAGTCCAGTTGTCTGAATTATCAAGGCTACTATAATGCTTTGCAAGGGATTGATAGATAGTTCCCACATTATCTTTTATCAGACAACCCAGAGATGTTTTGCCTTGGGATAAGTTGTAACTTTTACACCCTGGTATAGGCTGCATACATGTCCAATACTGTCGACATGATACGGATCGTGAAGCAGCTTCACAATCCGTCAAATTCGTACAGACGGTAAACACGAGTCACGATCCGTATGAACTCGTAAACGTAATAGGTGGTTTCCAATAGCAGATGCTTGTTGCCCAGATCTACTAACAGTTCGACGGATCGTACCGTTCGTACGGCTCGTAAGATGATTCATGATCCGACAAATCCGTACGGTCCGTACGAACTGTGAAATGGCTTTACGAAGCGTACGGTGTTCGTGAAAATGATTAACAGATCGTGAACCTATAATAACTTCAAACATAATATGCTGTTTGCTATATCAATATAATATGTTGTTGCTCCGTTCTTAAGAAACCACGCCATATACTGCCGTATCAATATAATATGTTGTTTCTCCGTTCTTAAAAAACCACGCAATATATCAATATCAGTAATACTGTTGCTCCGTTCTTAAGAAACCATGCAAACAATATCAGTAATATATATATTGTTGCTCCGTTCTTAAAGAAACCACGCGATTTACCTGTATAATATGTTGTTGCTCCGTTCTTAAGAAACCACGCAATATATCAATATAATATGTTGTTGCTCCGTTCTTAACAAACTACACAATTTATCAGTATAATATGTTGTTGCTCCGTTCTTAAGAAACCACGCAATATATCAATATAATATATCAGTGTTGCTCCGTTCTTAAAAGAAACCGCACAATTTATCAGTATAATATGCTGTTGCTCCGTTCTTGAGAAACCACGCAATATATCAATATAATATGTTGTTGCTCCGTTCTTAACAAACTACGCAATTTATCAGTATAATATGTTGTTGCTCCGTTCTTAAGAAACCACGCAATATACCAATATAATATATTGTTGCTCCGTTCTTAAAGAAACCACGCAATTTATCAGTATAATATGCTGTTGCTCCGTTCTTAAGAAACCACGCAATATATCAATATAATATGTCGTTGCTCCGTTTTTAAGAAACCACGCAATATATCAATATAATATGTCGTTCCTCCGTTCTTAAGAAACCATGCAATACAGGGTGTATCAAAATACCTGCAAACACTATATAATTTGCATAATTCTACTGCTTACTAGCATTTCAATGTACAGGGTGAGTAAAAAAACTGATATCTTTGTTATTCAAATTAGCCGCGAAGGTATCAGGTTTTTTTACTCACCCTGTATGTGCTATTTATTTTGCTCCTGCATGAGATTTGAACTGCCCATCTAACTTAATTAACCGCGTTGATAGAAATTACTATACGTATACGCTTGGGATCAAATAGTTCTGAATCCTGCAAATTCTAAAAAACATTGTATTTCAATGGGTTAGTTAGCAGGTTTTTTGATACACCCTACATATATATATATATATATATATATATATATATATATATATATATATATATATATATATATATATATATATATATATATATATATATATATATATATATATATATATATATATATATATACCTTCTCTTATACACTGCTTTAATTAGGCGCAGCGGTGAGAATATATGAGATTTCGACAAACAATTTTTATCGGACTCGTAACTATTTGCTCAATTGTTCTCTACATGGTGCATCAAAAAAAGATAATCCAACTTCAGCGCGCTATTGCACCTGCGTATGAACGAGATTCGTATTCGGAACGCCCATGCAAATGCACGCAATTTACCAATTTGACAGCCTACCTATGTAGGCATATTAAATGCATGTAAAGTGGTGTTTCCCCATGTATAACACTTACTGAAACCCACTATAACCAGGGCATTTTTAACTACTGTATATAAACTCTTTTGTCAGAAAGTTGTCGCATCTTTTGCTGTCAGGTTATGAAGATGTCCCATCTTTTCTTAACCAGCGGAAGCTTAAAAGGAGTCTTATATTATTCTTTACCCCACAACGCAGGCGCGGGCGTAAATTCCGTAAAATAGTTAAGACAATGGTGTCAATGCAGCTATTGTTTTTGGAATAATATGTAGATATATCTTGGTGATTATGGTGAAAACGTTTGTGCCAGATTCATGTGCGCACTATGGCCTAGGGAAAGGCGGTATACGTGTATAAGCCACTGAAGCCGCCGCACTTTTTATACTGCCCGGATCTATAACGACGGCAAATAAGTTTCGACGTTTCGATATGGAATTATCATGCCATACTTTGAACATAAACAAAATCTAGGTTGAATATTATTCACGCTATTCTCTAACAGAAATTATTCACGCTATGCATAACAGAAAATTAACTTATTACTTGCTTGGTTTCACACTGCGTTTAAGCAACTGAACCTGGATTGATGACATCTTATAGCGGCAATTAATTATGCAATTAGCGTTGCTCACTTCCTGAAGTTGCAAACTCAGTATGCAAATCCCGCTGTTTTTCAAAACGGCGGCGAGTAATTAATTAACGCACAAATTCATGCTAAATTTGGCTTGCGTTTTTAGACACACTGTATATCAGCCAATATTTATACACAAATATTCCCGATCCAATAACACAATAGCTTTGTCGGCACAACGCTGTCAAATTAACATTGCCTTCACCTAACTACTGAAATTTAGCATGTAATAAGGCAGGCCTCAATTCCTGATTCATAACCACCCTTAGCCGCGGCCTTAGAAAAAATTATGCCCGCAAAAACTTTTCGCGCGTGGAAATTTTTCATCCATACGTTTTAAAATTTGTCTGTT